GGCTTCGTGATTTCCTGGACTCTCAAGCGGGGATTCGTTCTCGTAAGGTCCTATCGGAGACCTCGTGCCGAGGCCTGGTCTGTATTCATAAGGTAGAGGTAGATGCCGACGGTCCGAAAAAAGTCGATTTACAGCGCATAAGAGGCTCATTTGAAAAAAATGGCCATTATGTCTATGATGGTTTTACCTTGCGTATTTCTCATCCTAGGGTCAACCTTGTCGCTTTGTACTTCAATTAGTATCACCATTAAAAACATGTCCAAAAACTTCTAGGCCAATCTAGTACCTGCTCCGATTATTCACTCCTACTTTACTACCTGCTGGTTTATTCTTGAGATCGCTATTATTGAGAAAACCATTAAAACTTTTATTCATTTCCATTAGCTAACCTTCTTTCCTCATCTTTCACTTTTCATTAGTGTTTTCTAGTATGTAGCAACCACATATTACTTTTTTGTTTGCGAAGATGTGGAGTCTTACCGCAATCCGATTGTGGAACACATTTTCCGTCTTTGCGATAATAATGAGGTTTGCATATGCAAGCAGGTGGATTGCATATGCGAGGGCATATTTTTGCCTGGAAGGAGTTTTATATCGTAATGCTATAATTCAGTAATAATTCGAAAACTAAAGCTATATGACGCTGTTCCAAAATATATGAGATTCCCAATTGTTCAAGTTTAAAACATGAAACTGTTATTAATATTGTTAACCTTTCCAAAGGCATTCTCACAAGTTGGCTCGCAGAGACTTCCACATGCACCAAAAACTTCGTCTTTACCGCACTCTGAAAAGATTTATCTCTGATACTGGTGGCCAGATTATATCATAGATAAGAAATCACTTAGAGGCTTTTCTTTTTTCTGATCACTTAGTTTGGATGTCTGGGCACCACCACTCATGCTTCCACTTGAGACTGCCTTAGGACTAGTACTGGTTGGTCCTCCATGTACGCCTAAGCAAATATTAATCTTAACAGAAGCACGAGGTTAATTTAGTAAAATATATCTTATATGCATAGAATTTTGTAAGTAGTGGTAATCAGAGCATTCTAAAAAATGCAGTAAAAGGTTATAATACGTCGATGCAACTGTGCGAGATAGCATTTGAGAAGAAAAGTTGTGTATGTATGAAGAACAAGAACCTCTAAAAATTAGATACCTTTTCTTGCGATAATATGTTGAAATCAGTTGTACTTCATCGACGTTTCTAATTGGCTTTTTTAAAATCTTTTGCACTGGCATCAAAAAAAAACTTATCGAATAGAAAAAGTTTAGATTTAATTTTTTCAAGGAAAAGGTGGGCTTATTTGTGATAACTCTGTCAATAGAATACATATCTCTTCTCACGCACCACATCCGGACTGTGGAACACAAATTCCATTGCTGTTACGATAGTAGCTGGGCTTGCACACGCATGCGGCTGGACGGCAGACCTTATCACAGACCTTTGGCTGAAATGAATGTTTTAAAAATGGATTATCGAATATTTCTGAACTATGTAGTAAGCGCAGCGGCAATATATTGGAGGAAAAGGCAGAGAACAATTCTACCTAGTTTAATTATACTACACATTCGTAACATCTATTATCAATGACTAGAAATATCCTTACCTTGTGTTGGAACTTGATATTCTAAGCGGGCATGTAAGAAATCGATGCTAACAAAGAATTAATCAGTTAACGTTGTACGCACGCTATATTGAGGCTAATAATTGTCAAAATTTTTTTAAAAATTGGATTTTCGATGTAGTAAATGGCTGTTCTTGAGCCAAGATTGATTTTCCTTTTTTTGTAGATGCATTTCTGACAATTGGGGACAGCCAAAAGCAAGTCCAATCTCAAGTTTGTAAGAATGGCTCCTCAAACTGCGGAAA